CCCACCTACAAGGAGGGAAATGGGGGGTGGGGTTGTGAAATTGGGGGTACCCCCTACAAGATTGGGACGTATATTGTGGTTTGGGTTTGACGGGTTCTGTGATTCTCTTGGACCTGCTGCTGTTTCAATATGGCCAACTAGTCATTATTTTATGAGTTCCTTTTGCTTCTCCGAGACAGCTGGCTATGAACTGATAGTATATTATTATTATTCTTATATATATTATATTATTTTCTTATTCTCATTGAGTTCATTTGACGTGAACTTCTAACTTACTACTGTAGACTGTATTCATGTCGAGGCAATTTTCGAGTTAAACAAGTCTATCTTTTCTTGTTAAACTCTCACTCTTCATAATATTTACAGTCGTATTAATTTAAAGTAACTTGAACAAGTATTACACCATATAATTAACGGTCAGATAATACGCAAATATAGTTCATAGCCTGTTGGGACTAATAGAGATAAATTAATTGCGTAAGAAAATTTTTTCTATGGGTAAATGAAACTTAATTGCAAATTTCTTCTTCTTTTTCATTTGGTCCTGTCATTTGGCTAGTTAGCTTAACTAGACGAGTCTCGGGCAGTTGAGCTTTCCATCTCGGATCACAAGGTTGTTGACTAGATTCAGCCCTTTCTCTTTTAGTTTTTACTTTTAGTGTTGTAACTTATTTGTCATTAGATGAATACTATGGAGAGTAAATTTCATATAGAGTAAGTGGGAGTTTGGACATAAGAAATATAAAATTCCAAAAAAAGTGAAAAAGAAAATTAAAGTGAAAATGGTAATTAGAGTTGTATTTGGACGTGAATATAATTTTGGGTTGTTTTTGAAGTTTTGTGAGTGACATGAGTGAAAATTTTGAAAATAGTTTTTTTGGAGTTTTTCAAATATTCGAAAATTTTTAAAATTCATGTTCAAGTGAAAATTGAAAATTTTATGGCCAAACACTGATTTCGAAAAAAAATAAAAATATTTCAGAAAAAAAGTGATTTTTTTTATATCCAAACGGGCTCTAAGACAAATGGTTCGGAGTTTTGTGCCGATGTAGGTGTTGCGGTTCATCAACATAACAATTGCAATCACAAGAGTTACTAATTAGACATCCCAATCAAAAGTAAGCAAGCAAAAACTGACAATCTCTGAACTCTCATGTATTTTTCATGGTTGATAATTCCTTTTTTAGTAGTATTTGAAACTTCAAACTTGCCCAATAAATTCACATATTTCTGATTTTATAGTTTTCAAAACAAAATGGTGGAAGTGGTATGTTCCGGGTAGAATGCCTAAGTATTAGGCAGCAAGATTAATTGCCTTTTCAGTCAATTCAACATCTATGTATATAGTTCAAAATAACTTATATATACACATAGAATTTAAAACAATTTATATACATAGAGAGAGAAGTTCACCTTATTATTACACATGAATAATAAGTGTTATATCAATGAGTTTTATTCAAATCCACAATCAGATGTGCGTATAATACGTAGATTATGATTTTAAACTCCGCCACAAATACACAGACTAATATTTTAAAGTGAGTGGAGTAAAAGGATAGGTTCATGCTCTTGAGTTTAGAACCTGTGGGTAATTATGATTGAACTAATTAACTCACTGAGAATTTTTCGGTTATATCGAAAGGAAAGATAATTAAGCTTTTAACTGAACCCTAAAGGTAACCCCTCCACTAGCAGCTGTTTCTCTGTCTGCAACCAAGCAGCAACATGCATCTCTTTTTGTGCTTAACAACCAGAAACGACTAAAATTAAAGCTGTTTAACGTGTAATTAATCTTTTCTTGCATTAACCAAAGTCTTAATTAAGGAATACCACGTGTAGATATCACAGAGAACCACGTACGCTCCTCTATATTCTACACCCGAGCTGAAGTTTAGGTCTCTGACCACAGGAGCTCCAACAAGTCACAGTTCAACACGTAGTATTATTATTACAAAGCATTAGTACATGAAACGAAACAAAAACAGAAAACTTAAAAGGAAAAGGTGCATTATTAGTTGTTTACTTGTTTATTTAATGTAAAAGAAAAAGAGGTTCCTTGTCCACCTGTCACGTGCGACGTGTGAAGTCGATGGCCTTCCAAATCAATTAAAAAACACAAAGCACTAAGATATTTTTTTCTCTTTCATGTCAAGCGAACGACAATGGTAAGTGAAGTTTGAATCCCACTTGGTCTAAAGATTTGTTTATTGGTGCGAGGAAAATTAGATTCTGTACGATTTGTACATAAATTAATTTTTTTATAGTATAAGATCTTTAGTCACACTTAATTTTCTAGGGGGACTAATAATTAAAAGTTGTAGGGTGGTGAGGGGATATGTCAAGGTTATTAGAACAGTAAATAAATATAAGAAACCTACGAAGGCCACGAAGTCATTGTACCTATCACAATGAGGCAGGTGAAAAAAGAAAACCAATGGGAAAAGGGTCACATGGATTTTGATTGATAATACTCAGTCTACTTTCATTTTGACTGAAAATAAGTACGGTAGAATTCGTGGGAGAGAATATAGAAATGGACTCGTGGAGATTAAGCCGAGAATGAGGCAAAAGTGGGGGAAATTGGTGTGTTGCCGCCAATGCATAGTTGAAACGTGTTAGTTATAAAGGAGGATTTGACGACATTACGTGTTAAGGAAATAGGGTTTCTCAAAGTGGATATGGGAACATTACGTGTTAGAGTTTGCAAAGATGAGATATTTTTTTATTTTCCTTTTCTTATTTCATTAAGTTCCTTTGGATGAAAATGGCTCCTAGATAATGGTAGGGTAGGGTGTATATGAGTCATGTTGGTTCAGATTTTTTAATTACTAAATCAAACCAATTGTATCGTGTTATTAAATTTAAATATCAAATCAAATCAATAAAAGTTGGGTTTTTAATCTCGGTTTTTTGGATTTTCGGGTTTTTTCGGGGTTTTTTTTCATAAAATTTTCATAGCACAAAACGTAAAATTCGTGCTCCAAATATTTCTTTAATCCTAGTAAGACATAATTATATAATGTATTTTTCAATAAAATAACATAAATATGAGATGAGCCATGGCATTGTACTAAAATATTCAACAATAAAGATAATAAAATCGCATAAAATAAATATTATTAATAAATCATAATGAAAATAAATATAATTTAAAATTATGACTAATAAATACTACTATTTACATGACTAAACACTAAAAGAAAAATAAATTATACATTTTATCTAAACCATGAAAAAACTAAAAAAATAGATATCCAACACTATTTTCATTCATAGTACAATTGAATTGAATGCCTTTTATTAGCATTAGTAGGGGTGTACATGGACTAGGTTAGTTCGGTTTTTATCAAAACCAAACCAAACCAACTATATCGGTTTGGATTAGTTCGGTTTTGTCGGGTTTTCGGATTTTTGTTACTTACATATTATTTCAATCTTACTTTGTTAAATATTTGATAAGTAAATATATATTTAGTAAAAATATAAAAAAAATTGACAAACATTTTATAGATTAAAATATTCTTATGGGAGAATTCTATTAGTAACACATAGTAATAGTTATTATTTTAGTCGTCTGACAATAATTTTTCGTTGATATACACTTTCAAGTTAACCGAATTTAGTAATTAAACATAAAAATCAATATGATACCTAAATATTAATTATCACTTCACATTCGAAAAAGATATAAGAATTTAATAGATCTTAACATATGATATGAATATGGAAGAACAAAGAGATAGACGCATTTCAGTAACACTTGATAAGAAAGTGATCATACAACCCATTATTTGAGGTCAATAAAATATGGAGCATTTCATATTCTATTAAAATTTATATCCCACAAGAGAATCCCAAATATATATTTTTAGACATTTTTTAAAGAAAATTCTATATAAAATCTTAAAAGTATATATAAAAATTATATATTTATATGTCGGGTTGGTTCGGTTTTTTTACTCAATACCAAACCAAACCAAGTCGGGTTTTTTAATTGGTTTGGTTTGACTTTTCGGTTTGGTGCGGTTTTCGATTTGATTTGTACACCCCTAAGCATTAGTATTGATTTGATTTTGGTTTAGGATTTATTTGAGTTACTAACATTTATGGACTATAAAGTTTATTGGAGCATCCAAAAATTATAAGTCCAAACTTGAAATAATACGTTAAAAGATAAACCTATGAAATAACTTAAGAAATATTTATAAACTACACTACCATAAATATTTTTATGTATTAAATATATTTAAAAATTCTATACATATAGTGTCGGGTTGATTTGGTTTCAGTTTGACTTTTTTTAGTTAAAACCAAACCAAACCAAATATGGTCGGATTTTTTTTCCAACACCAAACCAAATCAAACCAAACCATAGTCGGATTTTTTTTCTCGGTTTGACTCGAAATATCGGGTTAGCGTGATTTGTCAGTTTCATTTGTACAATCCCTAGATAATGGCATGTCACAAACTGTAATCCGTTCAAAAATGTAAAAGAATGTGGTTATTGACAAAAGGCAGTATAAAATCGGATCAAACTTCGCTCCATTTCTTAATCTTTACATTTTTCTAAGTTCCTACTTGGATTGAAAATACATAACAATGGTCGATCTGAAATTCAAAAATTAAGGTA